ATGGATGCAGACTCTGAGGAGCGGATGGAATCTTGGGAGCATTCTCAGGAGCTGAGAGTCACCCTGGGAACCCCACCCACCCCGAAGCAGTTGCAGGAGACAGGGCCTCGGGGTCCTTCAGAGGAACTAGACGGCCATGCGAGGGGCCACCTATCCTCCATCGCATCCTTGAGCTCGAGTAGCCCACAGGCAGAGGAGGTGGCGCCTGCCACCAGTCCTCACCCTTCTCTGGAGTTGTCTCTGGGAGCCAGCCCCCAGGCCTCAGTCGAGAGGGCACAGCCCCTCAGCTCCCAGTTCTCCCTCAGATCTCTACTATTACACACCCAAGCCTCATGTGGCTGGAGACTGGCCGGAGCCCAGGAACGAGGAGGTGCTCCGAATCGCCCGGGGTGTGTTGGTGTCGGGCCCTCTTTAGATGGCGCCGCAGCGCTCAGCCCCTAGCCGGGTTCCTGCTGCAGCAGCCCTGGCGCGCGGGCCCGCGGCTCGGTGCACCGCCACGCAGAATGGGCCGCAAGCCCGCGATGGCGCCCCTGGATGCGCTAGCTTGCGGAGGTTCCGGTTCCAGAGGCCGCGGCGCGCCCCCCAGAAGCCTACCGCAGGCGCCAGCGGGGCGAGAAGACCGAGGCTCCAGCCGGACCGCCAGCCCCCACTCAGTCCCACAGGAGGCACCTCCAGAGTCCAGTGCATGCCAATAGACCATGACAGAGCCATCACACTTGTACATCTGGAAGACAGGGGTGAGGATGGGGTCACAACTCAGCTGACCTTTGCTGAGCTCTGTGCTGACTACTCTGCATATACTCATGTTAGCCTTAGCCCATTTAACCCTCAAAACCACCCTGGGAGGTAGGTACTACTTTTATCCCCATTTTACAGAGGAGGACACTGAGGCTCTGAGAAGTCAAATTACCCAAGGACATGAAGCTAGTAAAGGGGCAGGTATTGGAGATGGCACCTGAGAACTGAAAAACAAGGAAGGAGAGAAGATGGGCAACAAGGCTAAGCACACTTAAAGTTTCGAAATGTTTAGAGGGAAATGGGGGAAAGGTCTAGGGGCCTTGGGGAGAAGTTGAGAAGACTCTAGTTGGGGAGGGCAGGAAGGTCCTCTTCTTGCCTGTATTCCTCAATGTGAAGTGAGTACCAGCAATACTCGGAAAGGGAGGACACACCAGTGGACCTGGAGGGCGGTGAGTCAGAGCAGGGAGAAGTGGTCAGAACAGGGGACACGACGACTCTTAAGTGTGGAAATTCAGACGGCTAGACAAGGCCTCTTCCTCGGGGTTTGGAGAGGAAGGGCTGGGTGAGGGCTGGTTTCAGCAGCACCGCTCCCAACTCCATGGCTCACCTGGGTGATAAGTGGGGAGCTCACGCCAGCGCCCTCCTTAGCGTGGAGCTGGCGCTGGGCCAAGGGCACCCCCTCAGGAGCAGCGCTGAGAAGCTGGGCGCCGGGTCCATGGACTACGCCAAAATGTGTGAGGTTGCGGACCGGCCGCTGCAGCACACTGAGGTGGTTGCACAGGGCGGCCGCCGAGCCTCGAAGGGGAATGGAGCGCTCCCGGCGGAACATCCCAGGGGAGAGACGCCCGAATTACCAGGCTCACGGGAAATAGGCGACGGCGGAGATTCCTGTGGGGGTTGGGGGCGCTGTTATGAGGCACTGGGAGAGACCCCTGAGTCTAGGTCATGATGGGATGGGGGTCACGTGGTGCGGGGAGGGTATCATGGAGCAGGTTAGGGGAACCCCAGGGCTGAGTCACCAGGCGATGCGGGGAATCTCGATGGAGGAACGGCGATGGCACAGGCCCCAGTGGCCCAAAGAGCCCAAGCCAAGGTGGGATGAAGCGAGGTAGCCCCCAGCCCCTACCTCCCTCCGCTCGGCTCCCCGACGACCCCTGGCCAGCTAGACTTCATACCAGCTGCCCCAAATCGGCTTGCCTGTCTCTAGGAGCTTTGTCTCTCCGGATCCGCCGCTACCATAGAGACGACGCACGCACGCACGGCCGCTGGGTGGGGCCAGCAACCCGGAAGTGCGGCGCGCTGCGCGGCTGCGGGGACTACCGTTAGACGGGGCGGCCGTTAGACCCGGGCTGCCGTTAGGCCAGGGCGGCCGCGGAGGGAGTAGGAAGCCC